AAAAATTTAACTTAAGAATCATTTTTCTATCCCATCATTATCAAGATTTATTAAACTATAAAAGTTATATGTAAAGTTTGTGAAAAGGAAAATTTTTGCTATGAATGCAGTTGTTTTTTTTATAAATAATTTTATATTTATATAGTTTGTAATTATTTTTTTACATCTGTAGGTATAATAGTATATATATATATATATATATATATATATATATATATATATATATATATATATATATATATATATATATATATATATATATATATATATATATATATATATATATATATATATATATATATATATTAAAAGTATTCAATTTGATATGAAAAATATAAAATTGAGAAAAAATGATGAGATGTTTGATAAAATTGTTAGGAACTTACTTACTACCCTTGAAGCAAAGATATTTAATCAATTACCAGTTAATGGAGAGATTTTACGCAGTAAAAAGAATCACAGAAAACAAAAGTTATTGAAAAAGAGAAATCAAGAAATGAAAATATAAAAAAAGATAGATCTTATGTACTGCCAGAATTTGATGATAAAAACAAAATTTCCAATTAAAATTATTATTACTAGATAGAAAAAAAAGTTCTTAGAACACCCTAAAGTTTCTTTAAGGGTTGATAGATTGAATCTATCCAACAGAGAAAGATCTGGGATCATTTTAGTTGTAGCTGAAGCATTAGGTCATAATTTAGATGAAATATAAAGCACAGCACAGTAAAAAGCACAGCAAGCAGATCAGGCAATAAAATTTGACAGTTTCTGAACTTTAAAATACATTTATTTCACCTGTATGCTCTTTTATTAACAGGGATTCAATGCTGGTATCTGAGATAAATTGTAAAATAAAATACTTAGCTATTCTAGTATCAGGAAAATCAAGTGCACCTAATAGAAAATTGTTGTGTGTGTTCAGGATTCCGGATATGAATGAAAAAAATCAGGTAACAGCAACCATAGGTGCTATAAAGTCCTGGAAACTAGAAAAAATGCTTGTAGCAATGATTTTTGATACAACTCTATCAAATTCAGGTTGGATAAATAGTTCTGCTAAGTTAATTGAAAAACACTTCAATAAAAAATTACTTTGGTTTGCTTGCACACACCATATCTTAGAAAGAGTTTTTATCTTCTGTTTATTTAATAATTTTTGGAAAATGTTGATCTCCAAATTATGAGCCATTTAGACACTTAAAAAATGATGTATGACCTAAACTTTCATTAAGTTCAGATACCTCTTTTAGAAAAATTAAAATCGAGGAACCAGTATTAAAGATCAAACAAGCAAAAGTATAAAAAAATTTTGTCTGGCTTACTTAACCGGAAGTCTCAAAAAGTATTAAGAGATAATTATCAAGAATGTTGCTAATTTGCTTTGCAATTACTGAATGCAAAACAAGTAAATGTATAGTGGTGCAAACCTGGGGCTTTCCATCATGATAGATTGATGTGTACACTTCTGTACACATCAAAAATGTTTGCTTTTGCTGAACTGGCAGAGTATAAAGAAAGTATAATAGAACACCACCGAAAGGTTCTTCCATAGATAAACAATCAAGCAACTCAAAAACTCTTTGATTTTTTGAGTTGCTTGTTTGTTTTAACAGTGGAAGTTTTATCTGTAGAAATTTTCAAAAATTTAAAAAAATTTTTGAAAATTTAAATAATACTTTAATTTATATTACTAAAAGCTTTCAAATATCTTTATTTTGTTGTCATAATTTAAAAAAAAAAAAGACTTGAATTTCTTTGTATTTAGTCCCAGTTTAGTCCTAGTTAGTATTTATATTTTCAATTTAAACTTATCATTTATTTGCTTGTTTGTCATTAAAATAAATTTTAATGATAGATTTTAAAATTATTTATTAAGTAATTTTTTTTTTGTATTAATTAAAAAGTATAGTTCTAAAAATTTTAGGCATTATTTTAGACATTATTTTAGGCAGAAAAATATCATAATCATAGGGTGGGAGGGGGTGGGAGGTTGGGGATTGGATGTATTGGTGGGTGAAATTTTTTTGAATAAATTTTTATTTGGTTTTAGTATAAAAATATAAACGTAGTTAAATATAATAATAGATTTTTAATGTAATTTTAACTGTAATTTTTTTTAAAGTAACATGTCATTAGGTTTTATTAAACTAAACTAAACAAGAAAATTATTAAAAATGTGAACAAAGTTGATTATCAAAAATGTTTTTAGTCCTTTTTGTCAAAATTTTAGAAAAAAAAAACAGTTAAAAAAAGGTGGTGGGGAGTCAGAAATAAAAATTTTCAGATTTTTTTTTGGTTTAAATAGACAAAAATACATATGAAACCAATTTAAAATCTAAAAATAGTTCAAAATAAAAAAAAATTTATGTCATTTTGGGACACCCTAATATATATATATATATATATATATATATATATATATATATGCGTTAAAAGCTATTTGTAAAAGTAATATATCTAATATAATAAAAAATAAAATATTTATTATAATATCACAATTGTATTTTTGTTTTGGAACTTTTAATATCAATTTGTAAGAACTTAACTAAATAGACTGCTATTGGTTTGCAATTGGTTAGATAAATATAATATAAAGGAAGTTTTTTAAAAAACGTTTTTTAATTATTTTTTATTCCATAACCAAAACCATTGGCATAAAGTTCTGGTGCTTTGTAGCATGGTTTATATTGAGCACCCACATCCTATCTATGGTGATGACATGATTAAGCCATTTAAACATGTAATGAAAAAACAAGAGGGTCATACAGTTGTCTGCTGACCAAGCTGAATGGTAAATAGTTTGTTTGGTATCCAAACACCAAGCTTGGACGTTTTTTCCAATTTATCCAAGAGTTTCTATAGTTACATACCAAAGTATTCTATAGTTACATACCAAAGTATTTTTTGGATGTAGATCGACTTTTGGAATTAGTTTCGCCAGTTATTCTGGCATTAGACATAAGTGCCATTAGTGTTGGTTTATCTAGGTTATCCACATCCTATCTCTAGTGATGATATGGTCAATCAATTAAAATGTGCTAAGAAAAAGGTAGTCAGATCTCATTTTACTAGCTGCTTAAAAGCTTGAAATTCAATTCGATTAGTCTGGGTCTGGTTTGGTCTTGCAACATCTTGTTGTTAAAACATTGAAACCAATATTTTGTTGTCACTTCAGACTCGGAACCTTGATCTGTTGTTTATTCATTATGTGTTTCCTCAGCTTTTGAGTGACCCTACTGAAATTCATAAAGCAGGCATTGCCATACATAGTCTTCAACATTGTCGGTTTTTTGTAATACAAAAGTCGCAATTTTGAAATTTTAATTGGCTTGATAGGCCAATTCACGCCTTCTATATACTCAAATCAAAAAAATTTCTCAAAGCCTCCAGAACTTTCTAAAAATTTTCAGATTAATTCCTTATTACTTTTTGCCAGCCCAATAGCTTGCAAAGAATGGAAACATGATATTGTAAACTGAAGTAGGAAAAAAAAAATTTAATAGATTATTATATTTTTTACTTTATATGTCAATTATAGAATATTGAATTAAATGGCTCATAATGTTTAATATCTCAAATTTTCACTAAAAAATTAAAACCACATCAACAAACCATTCACATCAACAGTAGTATTTTAACCATTTTTTTATTTTTTTTTAACCAATTTTATAATTGATTCAAATTGAATTCGCAGAAAGTAAAATTAATTTAAGATGTAGTCTTCTACGTCCAAGATGTAATGAATCTTTTAAAAGATCAAGAAAGTTTTAGAAATAACAATTTTATTATAAACATGTTGTGTTTTAAATAAATTTAAATAAAAAAATAAATCTAAGTAAATTTAAGTAAACAATAAAATTAATTTGTATAAATTATGTTTGTTAAATTAAGTTGCTTGCGGTAGTGGTGTAGTGGTAGAGCGCTTGCTTCATAAGCAAGAGGTTCTGAGTTCAATCCCCACCACGATCCTGGTAGTACCGCGCTTAACTCGTTTCTCCGCACAGCGGCCTTGTTCGTCAAGGTTCGTGTTTTGGAGTTATAGAGTTGAGAGAGGGTTATATAACCACAAATAAGTAGCCTCCTTGTCTGTAGTGGCCTTCTCGGCCTTGAGGAGGTGAATTATATTGTAGCATTCTTTTTCTTTATTGTAGCATAATTTCATTATATTAGAAAAAGTTTTGGTTATTAGATAATATGTTTAGCATTTTTTAAAGTATGTAAAGTTATGAATGCAAAAAAATAAAAGTAAATAAATTTTTTTTTTAATATTTTGAAACTCACTACTATTACTCAACAGCAAATTTTGGGCAAAATTCTTGTGGCACCAATTTCTAATAACATATGAACATTGTTTGTTATTATTGTATTTTTTTTTATTATTATTAAAATAATTTTTTTTTCTAGGTTCGTCAGGTCATGCTGTCCAACAGACAATGGGCAGATGATAGCTATGCTAACAGTTGCAAGAAATGTAATAAACAGTTCAATTTAACCACGAGAAAAGTATATTTTTTTATTATATATACTTTTTTGTTTTTCTTTTTAGCAAATATGTTTTTTCATGACTGATGTTTTTCATTGTAATTCATGATATTTTTTAGTAGCATAATGGAGTTTTTTGATAGCATAATGGATGTTTTTCAGTAGCATAATGGATGTTATTTAGTGGTATTGTGGGATTTTTTAGTAATAAATAATTAAGAAAAAAAAAAAAAAAAAAAAAAAAATTTTATTATTATTTAATATTTGCTAAAGACTTGACTATTTTCTATGGTTGCAAAAAATTACTTAAATGGTCTTTGACCAGTTTAATCACATTTATTTATTTTTTGAGTGTTTTGAGATAAAATTAAAAAAAATAATTATAAGCAAAACAAAATGACAGATAAACTAGATGAATAAGAATTTTTGTAGCACTCTGGAACAGTCACTGTAAAAGGATAAGACTTAATTAAATGGCGAGTAACATGAGAATGAATTGGCGAAGATGGCACAAGACACTAGCTTTTTAGAACAGTGCCCGTTATAGTATTTATAAAAAAGAGAAGGAGACGCAACATAACGACGATGTGACAATGGTTGAAGGTTAGCTGCAAAAGCAGGTCTAACTATATTTACAATGCTTTTTTGCACCTTGCCTAAAATAGAGAGAGAATCATTTTAAGATCAGCTTCAGATATAACAACAGTATTTCATACAAGGACTGATACAGAGATAAAGAATCTGGACTAAGAAAGTGGTGAGCACAATAAAGAAATGCAACCTTAGCAGATACTAATTTTGCAATGGATTTGATATATAGTTTTCAAGAAAGATCGGAAGTTAGACTTAATTCCAGAAGGCAAATGGTAGATGACTCATCAAGTACATTACTTTTCATAAATATAGGAAGAATCTAAATTGCTACGATAATTAGCTGAAAAAAAAATTGAGTTTTATCTTCTGTTTTTAGTTCTGAGTTGAACTACACCTGCCACCGAGAGCCCGATGCTCTAGCAAAAGTGTGATCATTTTCAAGCTCAAATCCCCCCTCCAAGCAATCAGAGAGTGTTGGCTTCTTATGAAGATAAGAATAAATGGTAGTATCATCAGCGAACAACGCCACCTTAGGTGTGAGAAATTCTGGGAGATTAATAATGTAAATTAAGAAAAGTTTAGGGCCTGGATAGAATCTTGTCAATTATTAAACTCTGTCAATTATTAAACTCTGCCAGATATAACTCCAGATTTTTTTAGATTAAATACGAGATTTTGTTACCTGAGAATAGTTTGGTTTTGTGGAGAATGAGTGGACTTTGGCATTAGACAAAATCTTTTTTACAATGGTTTCTGGCAATAGTAGACAGATGTCTGTTTTCTGGAGAATTGTTATAGTGATAGACACAGAAGTAATGGTTGCAGTTGAAAATTACAGCAGGACATTAGGAGGAAAACAAGAAAAATACATAGTTAGGGATATTTTGAAGTTTTGTTGTTGTTATTGTTGTTTATTTTGCTATATTGGATATTTTAATTGATATTATTTGTTGTTATGTTCAGTACCATGTTTAAATACAGTTTATTTTTTACAGTGACATCCTAATGCAATATTGTCATAAAACCTTATGAAATATTATCATAATCCTTATGAAATATTGTCATAAAAATTGGTTTAAGTATCTTGTTCGACTCTTTATTATATGACTTAAATAAGCTTTAGACAAAGTCTTCTTTTTTTCTTCTTTTTTTTTTTTTTTGTAAAAGACATGGGTCAAAAAATTTTTAAGTCGTAAAACAGTATTTTTAAGGGATAGCATTTTTCTATTTATCAAAATAATCTTCTTCGAAAGTAATCATTTCAACAATTTCTAAAATTTTTGATGCTGCTATTATTGAGTCTGTGTTACTTTTGATGCCATTGCACTGCTGGAGCAATTTTTCTGTAATAAAAAAGAGCAAAGGTTGATCAATAAACAAAACTGCCTTAAAATTATTTTGGCAAATATCTTTTGACCCATGTGTTTCAGTTGTTACTTTTTTTTTTTAAAGACCAACAGTTTTTGTTGTAATAGTAATAAATTTAAATAAATTAATTTATTCCTTTTCTTTTTTTTTTTACTAGCATCATTGCAGACATTGTGGGTAAGAATTATTTTTGTGAAAAAATTTTTGTATGTGTTTTATTAACAAAGTATCGTATATGATATAATATTAATTTTTATGTTGTAAAATGTTGTGTATATAAAATTAATCATTATTTAGAAAAATATATTTTCAATAGTTTAAAACAGAGCTGATTACACTCTGTTTTACATATTTAACACTTTGATATTGGGCTGCTTTTTGCAAAAACTTGATACACCATTTTTTTGTACCAAAACTTTTATAGCCCTAAATGCATTTATATCACCTATTTGAATTATTCTTAGTAAAAGGTATAGGTAATTATTCTAACAATAACTTATATGACTGTGCTAAAGCGTGATGTAAAATTAGTGCATAGTGTATAATTGGAACAGAATAAGGAGGTCTGCCTTGAGGAGAACAGTATTTTATTTCATTAAACTCTGTTAAAATTGAATTCGAACCATGACCTCCATTTCATATATTTGGACAGGAATAATTTCTAACATACTACAGTTTCATAATTTAAAAATATGACCAAAATCATTCAAGTAAAGAAATAATGAAGATCTTAATGCTTTATCGCCATTTATTATCGCCATTTATAGGGCAATAAAGTATTAATATCTCTGTTAACAGTTACTGATTCAAACACAGTTGGTATGCCTGGTTTTTTTTCGAAAATAAAGTTTGTAGTAAATAACACTATCTTGTTATTTAATGTAAATCCTGTTAGTGAATGCTGTTCTGTTAACGAATCAAGATTAATTGTTTTTTCGATATTTTGAAAATTACTTTACTAATTTCTTTCTAAATATCTCGAAGTTGGTTTTTTGGGGGGCAACTTTGAGACTCTTAATGTTGATGAACTATTTATTTTATCTGTGTGAGTAGTTGGAACATATTAAAGGTTCTATTTCATGGTGCATCTTTTTCTATATTTAATAAATTTATCCTCAAAATGGTTAATGCAAGTAGGGGAATATTTACATGGAACCCAATCTTTTTTATTGACAAAATATATTCATCGTTCTCACAAATTGCTTTTTTCAGTGAAATGAAGGGCAGACTTTTTTGGCCCAGTAGAGTAACTAGTTTTACAATTTGCGACACATTTTCTAACCATTTTGTTACTAAAAAGATTTTTAAAATTACAATAATATTTAGATCTCTAAAATTTATTATTGGAATTATCTCCGCTTGAGTAACATTGTGCAAAAACAGTTTGATTAAATACAACAATCATAATAGACTGTCTGTGTGTCTATTTCATTATTCCACTTTCTAACGGAATATAATGAAGCAAGCAATATGCCAGAATATAATCATATATATATATATATATATATATATATATATATATATATATATATATATATATATATATATATATATATATATATATATATATATATATATATATATATATATATATATATATATATATATATATGCGGTAGTGATGTAGTGGTAAAACACTCGCTTCATAAGCAAGAGGTTACGAGTTCGATCCCCACCACGTCCCTGGTAGTACCGCGCTCAACTTGTTTCTCCGCGCAGCGTCCTTGTTCGTCAAGGTTCGTGTTTCGGAGTTATAGAGTTGAGAGAGGGTTATAACCACTATTAAGTAGCCTCCTTGTCTGTAGTGGCCTTCTCGGCCTTAAGGAGGTGAATAACAAAAAATATATATATATATTATATGACTATGTAAGCATACATCAAACTATATACATCATTATACAATCACCAACTTTAATAATAATTGTTATAACCAACTATAATTGTTATATTTTAATTGTTAAATTTTATCAATCATTTCAAACATAATAGAAAATTAGCCGTAAAAAAACTGGCTTTTTAGTTTTTTACGGAAAATGCATAATATTGGGCCGTGTAATTATAGTAGACCATTTAATACGAGAAACGAGTTGTTGGGGTTGGGAGAAACGAGTTGTTGGGGTATGATTAGTTGTTGGGGTATGATTAGTTGTTGGGGTATGATTAGTTGTTGGGGTATGTTTAGTTGTTAGGGTATGATTAGTTGTTGGGGTATGATTAGTTGTTGGGGTATGATTAGTTGTTGGGGTATGATTAGTTGTTGGGGTATGATTAGTTGTTGGGGTATGATTAGTTGTTGGGGTATGATTATTGGGGATTATTAAACATAAAATCTGAAGAACTAGAAGCATGTATGATGAAATTTTTCTGTGCTTTTTAACGCTTGAAGGGTTTTGAGGCATTTAGTTTTATCTCCCGCGATTGCTTGGTAAAGATGTATAACATCTATAACGATGTATAATCTATATTGTATAACATCTATAAAGATGTATAACGATCTTATCATAATAGCCACAAAAAAGGTTTTTTAAATACTCTTTTTAATATAATACTTGCTCCCTAACTAACCCCGCCAATATTATATTTCCACCCTTTTTCCTGCTAATGTTTGTCGTTGTAGTATAAGTACAAAAAAAAAATACTTGGATTAGAACCATCTGTAATATTCCAATAGGTGTTGGTTATAAAAGCCTGATGAAAATGTTGTCCTTAGACTTGGACAAATTACTGTACTCTCATAAATCGTTTTGCTAATTTAAGAAAAATCTTTCAAGTTCAACTTTCATAAGTATTTTATTTTGTTTTTTTTATAAAGCATATTTTAACTCTATTGTTAATACTTAATTAAAAACATTTAAAAGTGTTACAACTTTTAAATCAAGGAAAAGCAATTTGCTTTTCCTTTCTTTGATGTTAAAAGTATATAATACTTTTTAGTCTTTATGTTTTATACATTTGAAATATATTAATAACAAATATCTGAATAGCATGATCTTCTGCGGAACTTGTTCGCAATACTCAGCGGTGATTGCTTCTAATAAAAATCCTGTACGGGTCTGTGAAACATGCTCAATCGAACTTAGTGATATACGAGGAACAAACGTCAGGGTAAAAAGTTTTTTGTTTTACCTTGAAATTATCTAAATCGGTACTTATTGTATTCTTATTTATATTTATTGCATTATTATTTATCTTTATTATATTATTATTGTGAAATTAAATTCTACTTAAAAATTATTAAAATTAAATTATTGTGAATAATGCTTTATTTATATACTTTAGAGAATTTCGAATTCGTCCATACACTCTGCACAATCTTACCGGTAATCGAATCTGCAATGAGGTCACAATTAGTTCTGTTTCAATTTTAAAATTTGATTACTTTTTAGTAGTTAAACATAGCAAAATAGATAAAGTTTTATAATGAAGTTTGGTTTCTTCAAATTGATATCGCCTCGGTGTACGCACATTCGTACTAATGTTATATAAATTACATATCGTCACGGTCATTTTGCAATCAAAAAGTCAGTTTTCATGTTTTGAAAAAATTTTAAAAAGTTAATTAGCTTCGCTATTTCTTCTGTTACATTAGTTTTTGTGACATGTTTTAACTTTAACCTTTTCAAATAATCACATAAAATAACTATCGTTTTATTATTATTTATTGTGTAATAGAAGACTGTTTAAACAATTCCATTAACTCTAGATTCACCAAAAATGACTTTTGTGACGGTTGTGAAATGATCGTGACAATATAATATTACTATATATTTGTAGATATAAATTTATATTCGCATTTTGTTTGATTTTAATATATATTTTTTTATGTGGATTATTAGGTCTTTATAAATATATATGTTTGCGCGCGCGTGTCTGTGTAAGTGTTTGCGTGTGTGTATGTTAGCGATAAATTGATGGTATGCTTTCGGTTCTTTTATTACGTTTTAATTATTATTTTATAAAAAAAAAGTAAAAAAAAAATCGTTTTTTTTTTTTTTTAAATGCATAACAGAGTTCATATTTTATAAGAATGTAACGAACTGGATGTTATGCTAAAAAAAAGTTTAAACTTTTTAAATAGGCCGCTTTATTGGATATAAGCATTAGCGTAGCGTAAGGGGGGAGAGTTATAAGGGACCCGAGCCGACCAAGAAAAAAAAATTTTAATTGTCGCTGTATAAAATAGCATGCATATCAATATTTAACAATTTGCGCCATTATTGTGTTGTTAAGAAATGCTTAAAAAAAAAAAAAAAAAGCTTGCTCTTTTTCTGATTTATTTAACTATATATTTTTTTAACTTTAATAAATAATCTTGATTTAAATAGTGAGCAAATTTTCATTTATTTAAACCTAAAAAATTAAAATACATTAATTTAAGTACATTCTTTCAAAAATATATATTTTTTTAAATCGCAAATATGCCGTCGTAACGTTTCTTCGCAAAGTGCGATCATTAAGCTATTTTAATAGCTATTAGGTTTTATTTATCAAAATAAAATCCGCCTAGGCTCAGTTTCATATCAAAACCTAAAAGTACTAAGAAATTGATATTTGTTATCATGAGATATATTTCTTTTTATAGTAAAAAACTGCGAACTTGAACGATAAAAAAGATGCTACTTGCTACTTTTTTTGGCTATATGGCTATACTCTTAAATTTTAAACTAAATTTTTTTTCTTAATTTTGATTTATTATTTTTTTTTAAAAAAAAGTAAAAAGTTATTAATAAATTTAAAGAAGTTTTATAAAAACAAAACTAATTAAAAAAATCAGGAAGAATCGAAAATAAAATATGGTCTGTAAAATTTCTTATTATTAGAGTAACAATTCTTTCTCATTCATAAAAAATATATTGAACTTGTTACAGATGATTAATGTAGCTAAGTATTGTACTGAAACGTCACTAACGTCATATTGTATTCAATTATGTAGTGAAATTAAAATAATTTTGTTAAAAAAGCACGATATACTTTCGCCATTTTTATTAATTTATATAACAAAAATTATCTTTGTAAAGAAGTTAATTAAGATGTCACTGAATATTTTATTAACTTAATTTAGGAAGTAAAACTAATCTTTATTTGCTTGAAAAATCACAATGTACTTTTGGCGTTTATATAAATTTTATCTAAAGCTTATTGTTATTTTTGGTTATGAAACTAATAGTTTTAATGTTAAATAAAAAGAAACAATTTTTTCACGTTAATCCTCATCCAATTTGTAAAAACCTGCAAAGGTTAACTTAAACCCTCTTGTGTTGCTTGTTTAAATTTTGGTAGTGATGTAGTCAATGAAGCCTTTTGTTCATAAACAAGGTGTGCGGACTTTAAATACCTTCACATTCTTGGTTGTAACAAACTTTTTTTCACGCGCTCACAAGGTTCCTGTATGAAGTAGTATTGTTTTAGAAAAACAATATTACTCCATACAGGGCCGGCGCGAGTAGGTGTCACGTGGGGAGGGGGTGCCATTACAACTTTTGCTGACTTAAAAAAAAAATGTCCTCGTTTTTCAAAACACACACCCATCGCGTCGATGGGTGTGTGTTTTGAAAAACCTTAAAAAAAACATTAGTCCTTGGTGTTATTTACAATTTCGTGAACAGTTAAAAAATTTAGTTATCAGATTATTGTGTTATAAATATCAGAAGCAAATAATAGCGTATCAGCTATTTCTTGCTCAATTTAGTAAATAATATATTAAGGAATTTCGTTTAATAAAAGAATTTTTTTATTCTAAGACTGTTCTAAATTTTTAATAAAAAGCTATTGGAAAAATGAATGTAATTACAAATAAAGCTTGAAATATCATCAAAGAAAAATTTGGTAAAAATATATCTGTTTAAAGTATTTTGCCTTAAAAACTGTTAATAAATGAAAAAGTAAATTTTGATAAAGAAACTATTGCTAGAAAACAGTTTTTTTCTTGAAATTAATTTGTATCAGACAGTTAAAATTCCAAAAAGCACCATAAATGTTGAAATTTATCTGAAATGTGTGATATTATAAATATGGCAAAATTTAAATATTGGCGGGCTGTGCATTTTTGTTTTTTTATTTGATCTGTACCATTCTTTTAATAGCGTCTGGTAATAAACCAGATAAACTTAAAACTGCCAAAATCATACTAATTTTCGAGACTAACAATAAAACAATTGTTTCAAATTTCAGATCCACTTATGTCGTATCCTGTTTTTCTAAATTTCTAGAATGCGTATTATAACTGCTTTATAAACACATAACATCAAGCAATATGTTCAGTACTTTTAACTTATAAAGAATTTAAAAATTTCTTTCTACTTAATGATATATCGGATGCTATTAATAAGCATTATCACGCATTGTTCAGTTATCATATTTCAATGTCTACATACTTTGACATCAGTTATAATATAACAGGGACTTGGTGATAAGACAACCCCGTCTTCTTCTCGTCCTTGCCATTTTTAAATATTTTAAATTACGGAACTTGTAAATATTTGTACGGCTAAATTATAAAAATAAAAATAAAAAAAAACTTAGTGACAAGTGATGTTACTATTTTCGGGCTAGGTTTGGTACTAACTTTTTGTTGCCAGTGCCCCATTGACGGTGTGGCAATGACGACCTTAGGCATATGAATAGCCGTCGCTCTATAATTCCTAATTGAAGTTTAAAGAATACATACTTACAGTAAAAATAATTATCTTTTATTTTCGTTAGTTAGTTGATTTAATAAAAAACAAAAATTCACTGTAAAAATAGTAATAAAAACGAGGCAGTTGCCTAGTGTTATTGTTTTTTTTTTTTTTTTTTTTTTATAATATATATTTGCTGTTTATATAATAAGAAATATAATTACAAAGAAATGTTTACATACAAAAAAAATGTATTTTTATAATAAACAGGCAGGGGCTCAAAGAAGATACGGATGACTAAAGTCACCACAATCTATTCATAGAGCCCCTAGGTGGGCTTTACAAGTTAAAAAAAAATAGGATTTCTAATATAATAAAAAGGTTAAAGCTTGCATAAATATTTCCATTAAATCAAGAAAGTAAATAATATCATATAGTTTTATTAATATTCATTAAAATATACTCGCAACTCTGTTAAATATCAAAATAAAGAGCCAATTAACAAGTAAAAAAACTAAGAATAATGGAACTCGATTTTCATTTCAAAAAATCAAGAAAACGAATTATATTTTGTAGCGAATGCGCCTATGTTTGTTAGTATTTAACAATAAATATTGTAATGTATTGTATATATAAATGTGTATATTAAACATTAAAATAATAAACATTTTAAGATTTAATTTTTTATTTTTCAAGTGGGGCAGGCTTACTTAATCATAAAACCCAAAAAAAATTAAAATAATTTAAAGTGAAAAGTCTAAACTTATACTTTGGTTTAAAAATTTCTTGGCAAACAAGAAACAAACTATAATCATTGAAACAAATAAAGTTTAAAAATAAAAAAAAATTTTAGACAACTTTTTTTAGTTGCTCTAATTAGAGCGGCGGTACTGCTTAGCTCAGCAGTGTCGCCGAGAGGAGGAAGGAAGGGGCTAGGGGTTGTGAGGGATAGTTTATACCCGGGCGCTAGATATCCAAGGGGTGTCAAATGAAATGTTGGTACTTAAAAAAAAATCCTTCATATATAATATAGGGAAAATTTGATAATTATGGGCGCCAATCAAGATTGCTGTCCCAGGCGGCGTGACAGGTCTCGGCGGCCTTTGCTCTAAGAAGACTTAACAGTTTTTTCTTAGAGAAACATCGCTTAGAAACATTTAAGCACAAAGCTTACGCCACCTTTTTTACCGATGTTACTTAATTGGTCAGAGCCGTCATCAAATTTCAGTCCTCCTGGTTCTGCACCATAACTGTATAACTTTATAATTTTGATAATAAAATTTCAACTATGGAGCTCAGATAGTTATATAGTCCCAGAAACAAAACAGGTGAAAAGTTTGACATGCTGATAAAATTGAGACAATAAAATATATAAAAAATCAAAAGAGAAAAGTCAGTGTTGAAAAAGGTTATCAGAAAAGAGTTAAAAAACTACAGGATGAGCAATCGTTTTAAGGTAAATATAAGATTGTAGTAGTGAATTTTTTGTTTGTTTATATAGTATACTATTTGTTATATACATATATACATATATATATATATATATATATATATATATATATATATATATATATATATATATATATATATATATATATATATATATATATATATATATATATATATATATATATATATATATATATATATATATATATATATATATATATATATATATATATATATATATATATTATTACAGCAATCTTATATTATTATAACAATATTATTATATATATGTATACTATATATAATATCATTATATATACATATATATGTATATATAATAGCATTAATAGTTGTAAACGGTTGGTTTTTAGCTCAAAGAAAAAAACGATTAGATAAAGAATATCAAGAAAATATTTCTACTAGCTCTCCTTTCCATAAAAAATATAATCCAGGTAATGTTTACTTTACTTTAAAAACAACAAGGTAACCAAATGAAATTGTTAGTTGAAAGGCTTCAAAAGTAAAAGTTAGACATCAATGCTTTCCTTGTAACAAGAGTTTTAGATAAAAAATCAAGAAAAAACACAATGTCAATAAAAAACACAGCTATGGTTAGCATAAGGCGATTATATACTATTTTTTATTGAACTGCAAATGCTTTGATGATAAGTTAATAAAAATGAACATAAATTAGTTTTATTTTATAGGTTTGGGATTTCATTTTTTGCAACTGCAGCAATTGCTACAAGTTATCTGCCAGATTTAATCGAAGCAGGATTTCTCACCCCTGAATTTTCCTTCTTTGCATGTGATCCTTTTAAGTTGATAAGTGCAAAGAAAAATATTATTCCATACTTCCAGATACAGA